AGTTTTCTTCAGTTGCAGAAATGACCTGAAAAACAATCTTCTTTGCCTCCTCATCCCTTTGGATAGGAACTATTAACAGGCAGATTGTGCCCAAGATATTCAAGAACATGAGCAAAAATTCCCAACTGTAGGGTGTGGTTGTTGTATTGTGGGTGTTTTTGTTGTTGGTTCTTGGTTTGTTTGTTTTTTTTTAAACTGAGCAATTATTTGCAGTTCCCTTTTGCAAGGTGAAAAAATTAGATCCAAATGTCAGTTTTCAAGTTCAGTGAGGATGTGGTTCAAGCAGTATTTCAGAACAATACATAATTTGAGTTTATACACCTAGTAAGGAAGCCAAAAAAGTTCTGAAAAAAGGTCAAAGAAAATAAGGGGGTGGGGAAAGAAGACTAGAAAAAGTGGTTGTAATTGTTTTACAGTTTGTTGGAAACAAACAAAAAAAAAATGGTTACAACTGCACAAGAAACTTGGCATAGATAAATTTTCAGCAAACAATTTTTGTTATTCTGAAAACAGAGGTCTGAGTACGGTAACTTCTAAACAAGCTAGACCCAAGTAACAGCAGAGTTGCCCTTTTTACAGTATCTGTGCCAACTCCAGTATTTGTTTTACATCGTAATGATGTGACAAGGCTGATTTGTACTTTCCTTGGCTTTAACAACAATAGTAGCAAACTGATAAAGCTTAAGAGTAAAGTAGCTTATTAGCACTGGCAGCTTAGCCAGCAAACATCATAAAAAGGACTTAAATCAGAAATTGCATCTGTGCCCCTTGCTTTTGGCTGATAACAGCAAAATAAAGGATACCAGCAAATCAACCACATCAATCACCAACTGCTAAAACTGTCAAGGAGCACGATAATGCAGACCTGACACAAAATCTGTCAATACTGACCCTATTATCCCTATCACCCATATAAGGGGTCATCTCTATTAAAAGGCAAGGGAGCGCTTGGTGTCAGATTTGAAAAGCTGAACATAAACCACTACTCATGACACAGTTTACTAAATATCTAAGCCTCAACTCTGTCATACCCTGCCCCACAATAGTCAAAGAAGAGTGCGAAACAAATAACAGCAAGCTCAAATAACCATTTTCCCTGGGGAGAACACTGGATGCCTGGTGCACTTGCCTTTTGTCCCTCAGGATGATGCCCAGGAGAAAGCCACACACTACAGAGGAGGAGGAGTGTTGCTTCTGGGCAGAGAGCAAACACAGACCTGACCAAGCTTTCAGAAAAGCTTTCCATGTCACAAGGCTGGTGGTATTTGTGTCCCAGCAGCCCAAGCTTTAGCAACACCTCGATTTCTCCCACTTCACTTGCCAAAAAAATCTGCTGCACTTTTTAAATTCAGCTACATTCTGTACCACATTTTATTCATAATTACAGCTGCACCTGAGGGCACACACCTCAGCATGGAACCACAAGACATTACTTTAAGGCAAAGTTGGCATTAAATTAATATTACATGCATTAATAAGATATTCTTTTGGCCATTCTGAACACAGAGAGGTCAAATGTTCATGAACAATCTCTATTTTAGCACCTGAAAAACAACACAGAGCTTGCTTTTTTCTTTTCTCGACAGAAGCTATGTAGAGTGTAAAAAATACCAAGTTTCAAACTGTGTGCTTGCCAAATAAAGCTAAACACGGTATGAGAAGTTTGATGTTTGATTTGGTACAGGAAAAGCAGCTGAGAGAGGTGGAGAGCAGCTGCATTTCAAAGAGAAATTCTTTTCTAGGGTACTCAAAGGAACAAAGAGACACAATCTGAGTTCCAGCTTGCTTATCTAATAACTGCAAGATGAAAAACAAAGCCCTGTTGCATGTCAAAATGTACTGCATATATCATCTTTTATGTATCAATTTCATTCAATACTGAATACATACAGAGTATCAAACAGTGGATTCTGAAATGCTCAATTAAAAACACCCTTAGAAAACTATAATTAACCTTTAAATTGGGAATTGAAGTCACACTAAACCCAAAATCTGGCCTGCAGATAGCAACAACAGGTTGCAGACTTATTGCTCCAATGCACAAAGCTCTTGTACACTGTTTAAAGGGATGCAGCGTAAGCTCAGAGTTGGAATCATCGGAGCGCCCGAGCACAAAAGTTCAAATTCCAACTGGACTGACTCAGTCCTTCCGCCTTCCAAAGTACATAAATCTAATTCCATGTAGTTTTACTGTGAAAGGAACTCTAAAAAGCAGGGGTCCTCCTCCCTGCTGTGTCAAAGCTGAGGATTCCCTCTCCTATATTTTCAACTGTTCCTTGCCATTCTTCATGCCAGAACTGACTGGCAGGCTCCATGTCGGATCCAGCAATCAGGAGGTTTCTTGTTGATATTAAACACGTTGTTTTGCAAGCCCAGTATCAAGTTATAGAAATACAAATGACCTGGTGCAGTAATTTACAGTTAGTGCAACATAGCTCCAAAAACTAGTGCCCAGAAACCACCCCTAACTGCATTTTAGGATGCATAACCTAAAACATTGTAGAACGGTGGCACCAAATCCAAAATTAAGAAGTTACTGTTTGTTTTCTTACAAATACTTCACTTTCAAAGAAATGTTCTAGAATGCTAGCAATATGCAGGACACTCCAAATTTGCAGACAATTTACAGGCAGAATTGTTTGGCCAATGTCCATGATGCAGTCACTAAGGATTTACTGCAACTGTTCTACCTCCTGCAGGAGGTGTGGGGAAAGCTAGTGGTCTTCATTAACATCAGTAAAAGCAAGGCAGCACCACAACAAAATGCAGAAAAGATACTTATGTTAAATATTTTCATTATTCTTTTTCCATCAAGTAGGTTTTGCAGCTATGAGCACTGAACAGGCCCAGATCTCCCTAACTCCACTGAGGTTCTTTCATACAGAAACTCATTTCCAGCATCATTTTTGCATCATCAGCAAGGAAATAAGGCAATAGGTCTAGAGAGACAATCACTTCAGAGCCAGCTGGTAGAAGTGCAGAAAAGGTAAGTATGTGCTTAATTGAAGCAATCCAGCAAATGAGGAGAGAAAAAAAGAATATCTGGTACAAGACAAACAGGTAGAAGTGTGTCTGAGAGAACAGTTGTTTGAGATGTTATCCTGTGATGATAAAGAAATGAGTCATCATCCATCACTATGAATAAACTCTAAAGTTAAATCATTTGATGTGGTAACTTAAAACCACATTTAGTTTTAGATTCTTTTCTAAAGCTACATCAAAGAACAGGAACTTCCAATAATTCTCATTAAACACCACAGATTTACACAGGTACTCCAGTACTCTGGCTCTTGAAAAACAATTTTCTCAGTGCTTCAGGACAGCTTTATGAAATATCTCAGAGAAAAGACAATTATCTATTTTGGGAAATGACACACACAGGGCAAAATAACCCCCCCCACATTACCTAGCATGCCACAGCACAAAAGGCAACAAAACAGCTTTAAGAGTCCTGTCAGATGCTGCAATCACATACACCATTGCAATAGCCACGGTTATTAAAGCAGCACAAATAGTGACAACTGCACTTAAGAGTTCAGCATTATCAGATCATACTTTTATTCATTTAAATGGTGCATGAGCATCAGCAATTACATGTTCAGACTGACTAGTGGCTTCTTCACAATACCGTGCTGGTTTCAAAACTAAAATGCTTCAGAGCAATGTGTAAGAAATTCCAAGGGAAGTCTTCTTCCAGTATGAAAATATATACACACATCTTTTTTGTAGATTGCAAGGGGTTTTTTAGCCCTATCAGTTTATAGTGGTCACCATGCTGCTTTCCACATCTTCCAGACAAAAACCACCATTCAAGGAGGAATCCAAAGCAGCATAATTATCAACAGAAAGCTATTGACAACTCCTTTGTAAACATTATAAAACCGTATCTTACTGTTTCTAGAAAGCGAGTAGATCCTCTGTAGTTGCAAATTATCTTAAGAGCTATCACAGGAAAGATTACTTAGAGATAAATCCAATAGTTCTGAAAAAACTATGACTGAAAATGCCAATGGTAATTGTTGCAAATTGGACAGAGGCCTTTGGTCTTCAGTAACCCCTGGTATCCCAGTCAAGACACACAGGCAGACTTGCCTGTGCAGGATATCAAACCTAAATCTTTCTCTACAGGGCAAACAGAAAATTTTTAAGTGTTCAAACCCTTTAAGGACCCAAAGGGATCATATCTAACTGAAGAAACCCACTTGTGTACAATCTACCAAAAATAACCCACCTTTAGAAGCCAAAGCACACGCATATCCAGCATTGTTCAGACAAGAAGGTTTTGATAAACCCAGCTGAAAGCACTTGCTTCAAAATGTTTAGGTTGGTGGAGCTGGAGGGAGGGAACAAAACAGCAAGAGAAAGCCTTTGGGAACACACATAATTACTGCATTTCTGAGGGGATCCAAACCTTCTGCCAGGCACTGGACTAGGGCTGAAATGCCCCATCTGTGACCTGCTCAGCTTTGCATTAGTTTGTCTAAAATCCAGTTTTAGGTATAACCACCTTATCTGGATTCTGCTTTTTAGAAACTAGTCATCTTTAAGTTGGCATAATAATGTATGTCTAAACCTGTGTTATTGTGAGAGAAGTTTAAAAATACAGCTCAAAATAACAGCTATTTTCTACAAACTCTATTCTATGTCAGAAGCAGAAATTATTTGCAGCAAGTTGTTGGGTATTTTTTTTTTAGTATTAAATGTTAACACTTAGCCATTCAAAGAAATCTCTCATCATCTACTTGTGGAGGGTGAGGAGGCAAGGCAGAGAAAAATAAATAGAATAAAATGGTTATTTCTTCATTTATTTGCAGCATGGTAAGTTAAAAACTGGTGCACAGAGTATTAGAAGTCTTGAAGTTATGTTTACACACCAAAATGTTAGTGAGAAGTTACTTTTATGTGTATCCTGAAGCAGCTAACCCAATTGATTCAGGTAAGAAACATGTATAACTTATTTAAAACATTCACTTCAAATTGCAATAATGCCAAATACAAAGTACTTGATAAGCCAATTTTATTTTCAAGTTTAAGTCATAGGATCTTTCTAGTGTAGTTTTAAGTTTTTTCCCACATAAAATTATTTTTACAACCCATGGTGAATTATACATGGAATCTTTAATGTTAAAGGGTTCTGCTCAGCAACACCCCTTCCCCTGGATTTCAAACCTGTATTTTCTTTATTACATAGGAATTATTTTATTACAGGTTTGTTAAAAGATACTAGATGAAAACCAACTTATTTCTCTTTATCCATTGTGTCAATATTTAACCTTTACCATACTGTTCAGCAATGCACAGTAACGTGCTATTAAAATGTATAAAAAGGCAAAGGAGCAAACATTTATCAAATAAAAAATGGGTAACAGATCACACAGTGAAGAGGGATGCTAACAGAAGGATCTACAGTAAAATATCTACAGAAAGCTACTCAGTGCTACTACCTCTGCAGAGCCTGAACCACATTCTGAAGACACTGAATAAACTCAAAACTGGGCTTGCATAGCTTCTTCATCAGAAGGTTGTCACCAACTAGTGCTAGAGAAAAGTACAGTGAATTGTCCAAAACATTCAAGTAACAAACCAGAGGAGTTGTAACAATGCAAACGCAACAGCCTTTTTCTTATCACATTGCACTCCACGTTTTGCTCCTTTTTCACTCTCTTTTGGCACAAGTTTTTTGGGCTGGTGGTGGCATCAATTGTCTTGCTTTCATTTCAATTTCTAAAGCCATTTAAATACAACAAAGTAAAAAAGGAACAGCAAACAAGGTACAGTACTTCCAAAAGTGAATTTTGCATCTATGTGAAATCAGCAGATTACAAAAATATTTTGGAACAGGTGGGAGACCTGTGTTACTGGGTGGCAAGAGCAAGAAAAATCAAGTGAAACAAAACTTAAAAGCAAGCTAACAACTGAGATTGGCCTCATTAAAGCAAATCCTATTAAAAGCCTTACCAACTTAAAGCTAGGCAAGGAAAGCATCATCTGCTAACAGTATTACTGCTGTGACCCACAACTAAGAGCATACTTCATGCCAGGTGTCCTGGTCCCCAACTTTTCTTCACTTGATAATGCTTATTCTTGTCAGAAGAAAGAGTAGAGACAGGTAGTGATACCTGGAAACTGCACTTGCAGAAGGCTACACATCTCAAAAACCAGGTGTGCACTATGGGAACAAGTAATTTCAACTCATACTTCTTAGGATGCATACTGACAAGTAAATACAACTTCTGGTTTTCAAAACTGGTTTCATGGCAAAAATTACTTTACTAGAGGACTGTTTGGAAGCTGAACTAAAAAATTTATCTGAGTAATTGGAAAATCCCATTCTCCCTGCAAGATGCATTTGTCGTTGCAATTGGAAAATGCTTTCTAATGCAGTATAGTAACACTGACATAAGACAAATACATTTTATGTTGTGTGTCTTCCTTACATCATTTGACCTACTTTGACCAGAACTTCTACTTGTGAATCTTAAGTGAATTTACTTACTATTTTAAATTTTGTCCGGCATCACAGTATCCTGCCAGAAACTGCTCTGTATGATTACCTCTAAAAGATACCCACTACTGCTTGAAGAGAGCAGAAAGCAAAAAAAAAACCCTCAGAGAAAGGGGGAATCCCAACATCAGACAAACTTTGTTTGTTTTAATAACAGACATGATTCTTTTAATAAAACTACTTGTGTGGCATTGCCCAAATACACAAAGTGCAGACATTTGGGTTGAGAATTATTTCATCAGAAGACTGAATGTCTTTTTGTTTGATAAATATGACATTTTAAGGGCATTAGTCTGCTTTTAAAACAAAACAAAAAAAATCTCAACAGACAAAATCCATTGCTGTGTTACTGCAGCATAACTTCATCATTTCTTGAGGGAAAGAATTTCTTACACAAAGAGAAATCTCTTCCTAATTCTTGTAACAGTGAAGAAACTTGAGCTGTCTCGCAAGAAGTAATTCTTCAGAAGTTTTGTTTTATTAATTTAGAACTATACCAGATCAAGCTAACATATTTTAAATAACTTCTAAATAAAACAACTCAGAAAAGCCAGACTGGAGATAGCATCTGAATTCTTAAGGTCCTCCAAGACAAGAACAGTGGCCCTTGATTGAAGTATTTCACACCATTTGCTAGAGACAGTCACCCTTTCTCTCCAACCTACCATGGGCACTTACAAGCAACTTCTAAAAGCAAGCAGTTAAGCTTCACCAAGGAAATTATGATTGTCACAATGCAACAGAATATTAAGGCCAGTGAATAATAACTGAAGAGTTATAAATAACACAAATGTTTACTAAGGCCTGCTTTTCCAAACAGAACCAGAACAAAAGCACAACGATTCTGTAGTGTACCAAGTGTATATTTCAATTTACTGTAATGCAGTCTAACAACAAATTTGGTCATAATTTACCAGATATACATAAATGATTTAAGTAGTAAAAGAAGATTCAGTTCCAAGAGAATAAGTTCATACCTTGAGGAAAAAATCCCAAGAAAACAAAAGGGGGAAAAAAAAAAGGAAAATACATTAAGAATGTAGAGCCAGGTCCAGTTTCTAAGCATTAAGTGAGCAGTATTCTAATAAAGCAGATTTAGGTGAATTTCAGATATATATATATATTTATATATATAGACAGATCTACCAATTGTAAACTATGGTTTTAAAAGGGATAAATGGGATGGAAAAATCTTTATGCTATACTTACATATTCACAAAGCAGAACATTACTTTAACGTTTAAAATACTTTTTCATTCATATCATCTTTGCCTAACTAATTTCTACTTTGGACCCCACCAGAATTACACATTACTCATTTCAGTCTAGAACAATGAGAATAAAATGTAATCTTCAGTGTAAAAAAAGGTACCCCCCCTCCCCACCCTCCCCAAAAAACTATTCATGTCAGGTTTACAATGTTGTGGAAACTACCAATGAAACAAGTGGATGATAAAAAAAAAGCATTTTAATTCCCATATAACTGTAGTTCAAACTTATCATCTCAGTTTCAATCAGCAAAAACAATGTCTTAACATTATGTTACTGTTCTATGGACAACGTAAAGCTTGTCTCTTTAAATACATACCAACTTTGATCAGATGGAGCACCAGTAAGATTTTGTCCATCAAAGCATAATTCAAAGTTATCCACACAACTACCATAATTTAGTTACCTGACATAAAATAGGAAAAAATATACTCATTTTAAAATTAAACAAAATTGAAAAATATGGTGACCCTCAATTGTTTTTTATACAGTACTGTCACACTGGCCTAGCTATGTGTCATGACAAATGCTCTGCATATTTACTCCCTGTGACATAATAGTACATCAGACTTATTGTTCCAATGATTGCCTGAATTAACTTGCCTTAGGCTAGACAACATAGAGGAGTTTAAGGTGAAGGTGTAATGCCCTTGCCTCCCTATGAAAGGGGCCTGAAATCATTGGTACAATATTACAAGCTTAGGAAAAAAAACCAACCAAAAAAACCTACGTGGCTATGAAAATTCAAGTTTCAATGCCTCCTAGAAAATCTGAAACAAAGAGCATAGGGAGCATATCCTCCTGAAAAGTAGACAACTCAAAGAGCATTATTTTGCTTTGGACTTCTTGTTTTTCTTAAAAAAAAAATTCCAGCAAATCAGCAAGTTAAATGTAGTTTGTTTATATTAAATACTAACAACAACCCATGAAGTACAAAAGAATAAAAAATAGTTTGTGTTCAATGATGAACGATGGGCACAATAGCCTAGTGTCCAATTCACATCACATAAATTAGCCAAAAAACGGACAAGTAAGAAATTATTGACCAAAAAGTTGTTTTAATATGACACTTTCTCCATTTCTTGTATTTTTATTCTGTGGGACTGAGGTATACACCAGGGAAACAAAAAAAATTTGAGAGAAGGGGGGGCCTTAGAAGAAAGAAGAAACATTATTACATCAGATACCTTTTAAAAAGCATGACTGTCTCTTTTGACTAAGTGGCACAAGAGTTACCCATGCTCTGATCAGTCTATTATTTTCATTACTGGTCATTTCTTCTGCATTATCATTTTAAAACTGATGAATCAACAACAACCTTCTTTAAAAACAGACACTAAATTAATGCCATTAAAAACTTCTCCAGTGCTTATCACCCATAGCACCTGCCAGCACAGAGCCAAAACTTTTCAACCCAAATTTCAATACGATGTTGGCAATATCTGTGACACATATTTAAATGATTGGCTTTCACCTATCAGATTACAGGAGAGGTAAGGTTTGTATGGCAAAGACATGCTTGTGGAAAATGAGCCACTAGCCCAAATTAGCTTCACTGACTCGCTGACAAAAGTACGAGTGGATTTGGGAAAGCTGTCTTTGTATTTCCATACCAAATTGCAATTTTCTTCATTCATGTAAACAGGTACATGAATGTGTAACATAATTACAGTTACTACTATGTCTGAATAGGACCCAAGTAGCTATAGCCTATAAATAATAAAAAATACATTTTTCTTTTGATAACTGACTGTAGATGTGAGGACTCTGTATAATTCAACCAAACGGTTGTATGCTGTACAGTCCTGTGCAAATATCATAAAAAAATTAATAATCCTTTTTTTGCTATAAGGCTTTGACCCTACATTTTCACAGCAACATAACTACCATCCAGCCTGTACCATATTTCGCAAGCCTTCAGTCCAAAAATTCAAACAGTCAATCCATACAGTGTCCATTTGCAGCACCCTGAAGTCTCATGCTCTGTCAGTCATCTAAAGGCATACAAACTTCCCCGCCTTCATCCCATCGAGATTGGTCATTCTGTTCTTCGACATCATCACCAAGCTCCTCATCGCCTTCTCCCACTTCATTTTCTTCATATTCTTCATCCCTAGGGAAATCTGTGTCCTGCACCTGGTCTGCTCCCTCTTGCCCTCCAGGCTGGGATTTATCTGCACAGTCTACACAAACTCCATAACGTCGTGATCCATGTCTTATTCCAACGCTGGCTGCTAGCATGAAAATCTTCTTACACACCATACACTTATACTTTTTATCCTTTTTATGCACCTATGGAAGAGAAATATGGAAGCTGAATATATGCATATTAGGCTACATTTGCATATAGTACTAGAAAACTATTAATAACAATAATAATTATTTATATAAAAATTCATATTTTTAACTTTTCCAAAATATACTTAACACTATTCAGAGTAAGGAAGGATTACTGGAGATCTATTTATGTACGATATGAGCTACTACCCACAAGCAAACCACTTTGTTTGCTCAGCAGGTCGCCTGTTCTGTACACAGGTGAGTGTTCAGGTCACATCTCCTCAGGGTACAGAGCAAGACTCAGAAGCAATGAGAGCAGCACAAACCCTTCCACTGCACACAAGATAACTCGTTTAGAAAATTGCTGTTTACAATTTTAAATCCTATAAATATTAAGAAACAAGCAAGAGTTATTAAATTCAAGAATTCAAAGAGCAAAATTCTTCCATGACTTCTCCTTCCCAACACAATTAAAACTAACATCAACTTTTCAGGTCCCTTAGGTAATTTTTTTGTCCTATATTTGTGTCTGTGTGTAAAATTAGAAGCCTGCTGTTGACTAAACATAGATTTTGATTTTGAATTTGGAAGTATGTTGCTTGTACAAGTAACTGAATTCAGCAATCATGTATATTAGTTATTATCTATGAAAAAATTAAGTCGAAGACTTCCTTCTTCTATCTGGTGTTCCCACAACAGATTACAATTATGTGCTTAAATATCTCATTTGAAGTCCCATTGAAAAGTTGCAATTTTAGATAAAAAAGAAATTACCACCCAGATGAGGGGAAAAATAAATTAGGTCATGAAACAAATAGTTACTTCAGCTCTGCTGTATAGTCTGTACAGCTGATATATGTGCTTTCCTCAGCCTCTAGGCTCGTTATAATACTTCACACAAGGCAGAACGTTTGAGGTTTGTTGAGCTGAAAGGGGAAGGGAGGGAGGAAAAAAAGCCCAGGAAAAAAAAAAAAAGTGTTCTGACTTCGTCACAGAAAGAACACTTCAGTTAAAGCACAGAACTGCACTGAGCTCACTCCACAGCTGTTTTCGCATTGTCTGACTTCATCTCCTTTCCTGAAGGAAAAAAAATCTTCAGCTACAAGTCCTGGTTAGACAATGCAAGACAGAAAACTGAAGTCCCACTCTACTCTTCCTGGTAGACCAACTAACTCCCACTGCTGCCACCTTCTCTGGTGAGCCACAAAGGAAGGAGGATGGCCATCAATGAGGCAATAATGCCCCAATTCTCTCAGTCTTTCTGCATATGAGAGATGCTCCATCCCTCCAATCATCTTCATAGCCCTCCTCTGGAGTAGCTCCAAGAGTTCCATGTCCTTCCTGTTTTGGGAACCCCAGAGCTGGATGCAATGCTCCAGGTGGGGTCTCATGAAGGGCAGAATGCCCTTCCTCACCCTGCTGGCCACACTGCTTTTGATGCCGCCCAGGATACATTTGGCTTTCTGGGATGAAAGAGCACACTGGTGGCTCATGTCCCACCTCTCACCCACCAGCATCCCCAATCCTTCCCAGCAGGGCTGCTCTTGACATGTTCATCCAACAGCCTGTATAGATACCAAGAGTTGCCCCATCCCAGGTGCAGCACCTTGGAGAAGTTCAATTTACCCCACTCAATGTACTAACTAACCTTTTCTGTCTATCTACAAAACATCTTGCAAAATGAGGGAAATTTTTAAAATCACAGGTTGGAGAAATGTTATTATTTTCTCACCACCAACATGAGCTTGCTTTTATTACTGCACTAAAATACACCCTGGATTTTATACAGTATATATTATAATGAAGTCTTAGTTTCCTTATAGACTAGATACAAAATACCTACAAAATACCCAAGACAGATAAAACTTTTTCTGGATCCTCAGATAAACAAGTACTCAAGTCAAATCCTGAGTTATGCAATGTGCATAGGAGAGGGTAAGCTGAACTGCTGGTTATGGTACTGGCAGAATGCAAGTCAGACAGATGTTTACTTTCTGCATCAGATATTTTTCATTCTTTCCTAATCTTAAAGCAGATACTATACTATAGCTTTGTCTGGTAGTGAAATAAACATTTCAGAACTACCTCAAGATATTGTGCAATTCCTGAATTAACAGGGTGCCCTCACAGAAAATGATGATTCAGTACTATAGACCAAGATGTGCTGTTCTACTGCAGTAAAGCTAAGCCAAAACTGCTTTTCATTATCTACAGAATACTTATATACACTATCCCTTTATCACATCACTTTCAAAATAATCTTGAAATTACTGTCTCATTGACATTGTATTTTCCATTAAGAAAACAAGAGGCACAGTTATCCAAGAAATGCTTATCTTCATCCATTTCAGATCAGACAATTTACATTATGTCAAATCAGAGAACAGTTTGATCCAACTACCAAAACACCTGAAAAACCCCAAAAACCCCACTCATACATGTGCATACATATACATGAACACTTGAGATTACCTACCAAGGAATGTCTCTTTACATGCTCTCTTCGTGTAAACAGCTTCCCACAGATGTCACAACTGAAAGATCTCACGCCTGTGTGAATGAGCAAGTGTCTCTTTAGTGTTCTTCTGTATTTGGCTACATAATTACAGTGTGGACACTTCAGCTTGTTCATGATTAAAGCAGAGGAATCGCCTAAAAGAAGCATCAGGAGAAAAGATAATGAAACACACAAAAAAATCATCTAAATATGTTATGTCTGGTAAACAAAAATAAACAGGTGCCAAAACAATAAAAAAAACCATGTATCTTTTCATCAGCAAAATCAGGACAATGTCTGTCTGCAGAAATCAAAAACGCTGCTAAGTTTTACATGTACAATTCTACTAGAAAAATACCTACTTGTAACAAAGGCATTTTTACCACAGGAGTCTTATTTCATTAATTGAAGTAAGTTAAATAAAATTTACCAATGCTCCATTTTCCTAGATGTCAGTTATACCAGAAAACATTTTCTTCTGGATTAGAAACCCTGTAACTCTGCAGCATTTCGACAGTCGCAATCTTCTCTTCTAATATTCTATTTAGAATTACATGCAGGAACCATCTACCAAGATGTGACTTAAAAAAAAGTATAAGTAAGAATGAATATTGACAAGAGGAGTAGGATACGAAGAGGTAGCAAAGTTCTGAAATTCTCAAAAAGGAAGTTAATGGTTCAGATTTTACCTATTTTCTACTTTGATCTAACAGCACAAAAAATAAAAAGAGCAGAAAAAACTTCTGGAAGTAGCAATATCCCACTTCTTCCTTATGATGGAGGAGAACTCTTTATATAGTTTGCCCATGGATATATGCAAAACAGGTTTAATGCAGCTGCCTATTACTGTGTGAAAAAGAACAACACAGGATTCTATGACAGGAACAAGGCCACAGAGAAATACAAGATTTTGATAATAGCATACTGACTCACTACAGGTGAGAACTTATCAACATAATCATAACCATCTAGAAGCATCCAAAAAGCACTGCCTAAGGCTACATGATTATGTGCAAGAGTTTCTAATATTCACGCTAGTAGGAAGAAAACATGAGTAATTGCACATTATGTGCACATGCTCATAGGCCTGTCTCTAGAGCTGCCTTCTTTGAGCTTTTAAATTCATCCAAAGATGGAAGTTACGTTTTGCTAATATTCACAAGTTTGCATATTGCAGCACTCATGTGAGCTGCATGTCCACATAACGTCACATAATGGCTTGCATGAAGAAAAGTAAGTCCTATACAGACAGACATCAGAGCTGTAAGATATATAGGAATTTAATGGTTTAAGAACAGGCAGACTTCCTGAGACCCAGCTTTTAATTTCTTGACTGCCAGCAAATTTCACCTTCTCATGACCACATTTCTTCTACTGTAAACCCCAAAATATTTAAAATAAACCATAAGTGACATCCCAGTAACATCTCAGTTAAAGAGAAGAGGTAAGCGTTACTATTACCCATACTTGATACCAAGTACTTGATATCTTCTTTTTACTGAAAACTTTATGTATTGTAAGGAATTAGCAACAATTGTTTTAGACATGGTGGTATTTTCAGTATGTTTTCAGAGAGAAAAATAATTACAGATAACTACTAGCTTGAACTGACAGAAAAAGGCTTAATTATAGCTGCACAGGACTAAAAACATTTATTGCAATGAATTTTTTTATTTTTAATAGCAAGACATATGCTGGGATCTCATTTTAAAATTATATTTATTTCCATATCTTCACCATCCAAGTTTTCAATTTCAAAGGCCATTTATCTGTATTTAGCTTAGTAAGGGGACAGGCAGCTATCAAGTTATTAAAGACCTCAGGTACCTTCACACTCAGCCACAATACTAGAACTGATATAAATCACATTCTGGTTTTACTCTTCCATACATTTGAATTCCTTTTCCTCCCTCCAAAGAAGTACATTATCCAGAAAGGCAAATGATATGGAAGAAGACTGATTAAATAATTTCCTAACCCTCTACCTACTCTCCATCAGATACACTTACCATTTTCCCAAGCTTCTTTTGGCCAAGATTCTGGCAGCAATCCATACTTGAAATCACTTGAAGTACCCGGTAGCAGCCCATACTTGAAGTCACTTGAAGTACCCGGCAGCAATCCGTACTTGAAGTCATTTGAAGTACCCGGCAACAGTCCATACTTGAAGTCACTTGAAGTAGCTATTAAAGACACATTCTTTCTTTAGCTTCCTGGGTTCTAATCAGTCATCAATCTAATCTGTTTAGCAATATATATATATCCCTTTTAAACTGTGACAAAGTTTCTAACCTTACAATAGTAATTATAGCATGTTGTCACATAATATTCAATACTAAAACAATAAATAACTGTATTCCTAATTTCAATTAAATGAGACTGTTGAGCTACTCTGCAGAGCACCATTTCTTCCCCCCATCCTGAGAAAAACTGAAAGCCTTTTTCATACTACAGGGACTTTGATAGTAAGGATATGTATTCCCTCACTATCATCATGAGGGGGCTGAAAGGTTTTCCATCAGAAAACCTTTCTCTTCAGAACTGCTTTGTGCAGTGACTTCACCTGGACTGCCACAGTAGTCTAGCTGGTACAAAAGTATTTTTTACTTCGAGGCATGGGGTTTTTTTTATTGCTTTAAAATATCTTCATGGTATACATATACAGTGCTTTAAATGCATTTATTTATATAAAGGATCCTACAGCTATGTCTAAATCCTTTTCTGAATTATCATCTCCATTACTCTATAACCACATCAATTCAAGAGACTGTAACTACTCGGAATATAACAGCTTAAACTAGTTTGCATATTTACATTTGCTCTTAAGACAAGATCTTCTGCAGTTTATGTTGTCTTTGTATCCTTTTTTCCTCTTGAAAAAATAAAACCATTCAGAAGTGAACAATGCCTTAAAAATATCTTTGCTTGTTTCATTCCATACTTTGTAACAAGAACTGCATCAGTGAACATGGAGTCATTATTACAGAGCACAGAGAACTATAAATAGTACACAATAAAGCTGCACTAAGAATTTAACAAAATCATATTTGTTGGGCAAAAGCTCTTCTGGCAATAGTGCAAATCAATGTTCCCCCCAATCCCCAAGACAGGAGTTTGTTGGAAATCATGAACTTATAAATCTATTACTTTCCTCACAGGCAAACAGTTGTTAAATAAACAAACTGCAGTGGTAACTGGCAGATTTCTTTTTATTTCTCTGGATGGTAGTTGAGTACTCACACTGGATTCCCAATGTCACCACTGTGAACAGTCTTGAGGAGATGTATTCTTGCTTTCAAGCCTGAAACTATACATTCTAATAGTCCAAAGACTTCTTTTTATCTCTACACTGTTCACTCTGAGGATTTTTTGGGAAAGGAAATTCTCTTGGGCTAAACCGGAATTTCACACAGCTAGTGGCAAGCTGCATATTTAAACACTTCCAGCTTGCAGTTTTACTGGAAAAAAGTACAGATTACAAATCCTCACAGCATGAGACACATACAGTAGTTTCATTTACTGCTCAGGCAGCATTACCACTGGCAGCAGTGATTTGGTCTGCAACATAAGACAACAGTTCAGAAGGAGATCACTTAACAACTAGGAAGCTTAGAATTCTATCTTATCCATTAGACAATGGCAAACAACAAGCAAAGTTGCATCATGACTGCCAAACTAGGCATTCCACCAGAGCTTTTAAAAGCAGAGCTTGAGTGAATGAAGACAAGAAATAGCTCATCTAACTACCTGTTTTGCTATAAAAGGAAGAAGAGGGAAGGGAATAAACCTCCCTCTCCCTTAAAAAACAAAGCAGTGAGGAAATTTTTTTTAATTACTGACTCTAATTACTGACATAACTGCTGTTATGTCCAAAAGAGGCAAGAACTCCTTATACTAATTTGGAGTGATGGACTCCAGCAATGGCATCTCAACAGCTCAAGGAATAGAACACAGATACCCTACAGACATGCCAACTACACATTCCTTTGAGGTGAGGAGGAAGACTTCCTTCTGTAATACACCAGAAAGGATTAGAGAGGAAGCAGTGTTGCACAGTCTGGGTAAAAGCAAAGGTGTCTTGATCTTAAGGCTAAAAGCCTCCAAATAACAGCAGGCTTCAGGATCTAGCAGAGGGGGAAAAAACAAACTCACTTTTATAATGTTTAAAGTATTAGATCCTTTTGTAGATTTTTCTCCCTGTACTAGAACTGTAGCTGAACAGTGAAAGGTCAGTCAGTAATAAAATATTTTAATCACTTTTCCTTCCCTTATAGGATGAATATCTGTAAGATCAACAGACCCAAGTCTTCACTGCACACAGATGTAACATTATGCTGTGTACAGGCACTATTGTATAGCTTCCTTCAGAATAAGCATATACCAAAGACTGACCATAGGTAAGAGCTGGACCAAGCTGAGCACATTTTATAACACTGTCACTTTGACAATTCTTCTGTATTTAAGAGAACACAAACTAAATATCACTAGGAACGTTTATGTACATAGCTGCTATTTAAGTTTGAGGGAACTTAGGAGGTCAAACCCCTGCATAATTCGAGATCTTAGCACAAGACTCAGCATAGAGCCAAACAAATTTAAAAGCTGTCATCTAGTGTAGGTAGTAGCTACTAAATCTTTCAATCTCCCACTGGAAGAGAAGACCCACTATAACATGAAAGAACACCAGCACAGATAGCACAAGAGATAAGAGGTTGCTACACATGCTTCGTGCTTCAGTATACATGACTAAGTAGATAATAATTAAACCTAATGCTTATTCTTAGAATAATTCGTTGACCTAGAAAACCTGCTTTCTAGATTAAGCACACATTTAATGTGTTCAAAACAAAACCATGCAAAAGGCATCTTTAGTGTCTAATTGCTCATCCAAACAAGACAGACTTGAATTACATACAGACTGGAAGCTGGAAGTGCAATACCCAGCCTCTACTACCTTCCCCAGCTGGATATAGAGCCTACAGTCAGGTAAGCTTCCAGAATGCAATATTTACAGACCCCTGTGGCTCATAGGATCTTCTCCCACTTCTCCTCTTACCCTGGCTACTGCCCCTGAAACCTGCTTGCAAAACTAGACACAATTATCATCTGACCTGTTCTGGTCAATTTAAAGCCACATGATAGCCTCTTGATAAGAGGCTGAAAGCAAGTATGGATGCAGTCATACTGGTATACTGGGGAGAGGGTGCACAGGGGGAAAGAGGTACACAGGTAAGGCAGATCTTTTAGGGAAAAAAACAAAAGTTAATTAGAAGCAATAATATTCTGTGTCTCCAGACTAAACCACCTGATCACAACTCTTCTCTGATCTAAAGTTACCTTTTTACACTTTAGTTGATTTCTAAGAGTTGTAAGTTAATAATCCAAATGTCAATTAACCTCAAACATTTACCCATTCATTTAGCCTGCATGGATAAAAGGTTATCAGTAATCTGATCTTTAATAAAAGCCAACAACAAGCAAAGCCAAAATAATGAAAAAACCCAGAATACAAAGAAGCTGATTAACCATCAGCACTAAAATTCACACTATGTTGACTTAAGAAGAGATAAGGACAGTGGGAAATAAAATTAAATGGTTGTGTGGCTTTTACACCATTAAAAAAGCTATTAAAAACATGGTGAAAGTATTTATGTTTTACTGCATTTGTTCTCAGGAAAAAAGGATAACCAGAAGCCAGATACACTGATTTTCAGTTTTGAAGGCAAGAGGTAGGCATGCACCACCAGAAAGAGAGAACATGTCTAAGCGAGAAGCATCCTTAGTTTGACAAATTTCACTCTGCTGATTTATATCAGAAAATATACTGATTTGGGGGCCAGAAAACCATACATTACTGAGTAGGTGATGATATGGGAAATAATGAGAAGTGCACTGACAGAAGCCATGAACAGGGCATTACAGAAAAGGACACACATATGGTGCACTGAGGGAAAAGATACAAAACTTTGCATTAGATACAGCTGTTTGTAGTGAACTTCTGTTTTCTCTACATATATTAGCACTGGAAACAGTGCCAAAATAAGAGAAAAATAAATGCTATTTTTCACTATATTTTTGACACTGACTGCTCATCTAATCAATTAAAAAAGACAAAGTAGACTGGATAAGCAATTAGGCCATAGCTTTCAAGGATTGCAAAGAAAGCAGTGGTAATCTACTGATACAATCTGGATTGCTATTAGAGAGCTGGATTTGTTGCTTATGTTAGGTAACATGACAGAGGAAACAGCACTGCCAAGACTGACATACTAGGAAGGTGGGGAAAACAAAGTATCTTGAGCTCCCTTTGTTCCCAGAGTATTCCTCACATCTTTAACCTTGCTTCCCCTGAAAAGGCTTATTCTGGAAGCACATTACTGGTCAACTGCCTCTTGCAACAGAGGGCTCAGATATACTTAAGACATTTTGCCAATGCAATCTTATTCATACTCCATCTATTGCTACAAATTGCTCTCAATTTTTACTATTTTTCATTCATGAAAAAGTGGTATATTGCTGTGACTATGGAGTCAGATCTAGCATTAACTACCCCAGACAGAAGACCACTAACTGATGCCAAATATATTAAGCACTTGCTTTTCAACTTGATTATCACACCTTCCCTGAAAAATTCCTTCCCAAGAAAGTGAAAGCTATTTTGCTGATCTCACCCAACAACTATACCAGTGAAACACAAGAAAGTAAGGAATTTTCCTCATGCAGACCATTTATTTGTGGGGAAGTTAATTGCTCTCATGGACCCTTTTTAGTAAGTCAATGCATTACACTGTGAGTCAAAGTGATTTTCAGGCAGAGAAGATCTGTAGACACCACAAAACCTTCTTCCGCAACCCATTCACAACCCCCTCCCCCCAAAACCCAAAAAAACCAAAAACCTCCAAAAACCAAAAAACCCAAACCAAAAAAAACCTGCATATTGACACCAGTAATATACAAAACACTGACCGGAGTTGTAGGCTTAGGGACAGACCATACTGTGAGAATGTGAGGAGGGAACCTGCTTGTCTTTGGGATGATCCCTGGGAGAGATAAATTGAATGAATGGGGAAGAGGTTGACCCTCAGATATTGCAGTGTTTTCAGATGACTTCTAAAAACCTTTGACACCTTCAATACTGGATTACACAGGGAATGGGGCAAATAAAGTGGTTAAAGGTCCATCAAGGAACTTACACCTTTTAATCAGGGTATCAGCTTAAAGTCTAAAGAAAATAAGACAGAGTTATAGTACCATGGAGAAGTAGGAAAAATATACAATTGTTTTTCTTTTGTAACACAGTCAGCCAAGTGGGGTTTATCCCTACAAGAAATATACATGTGTCCTGATAAGTCCATCAATCTTGATTTCTTCAAATACAAAGATACCTGCTTTATTGTAAAGCCCTAATCAAGTTGTGTTATGCTCCTCCCTTGCATCACGACAAAAGCTGAGACCAGCACTGCATGTTTTTAAGCAGGTTTAGCTGCTGTCTGTATCCTTCTGAAAAGTAGTTGTTTCTACAGCAAGCTGAATTAAATTCTTTAAGAACCCCTACAAAATCAGTCAGGAACCCTCTTGTTCCACCAAGGACTGTTTTAATCCTGCACTTGTTATTCTTTCCCTCACCCCCACCAGAGTACAGCATTATATAGCCTGAAAATCACAGTAACAAATTATACACTTGTAGCTTCATAAAGCTACTGGGATATTGCATGCAAGTCTCCTAAAAGCCAGCAGTCAGTTCCAGAAAGCATAAGCAATACTTCATAGCTGTGTTCTGAAGTCTGAGGATAGGACACTTTACAAAAAAAACAAAAACACCACGTCCAGATGAAAGACATACCAAAGAAGTGATGAAAATTGACAAAAATCACCCCATGAACAGATATTAAACATATGATGAATTATGCTCACTGGGCTTTTGACCTTTTGTGACACTGTAACACTGACTGTAATAACCATGCTGTCTGCATGGTTATTTTCACTATGGTAAATGGTTAATTGTAGGATGAATGATGGCTGTAAACAGTAAAAGACTATTTTAGCAGATTATCAACTAGGAGAAAATACTGATATAGGCGGTAAGATTCCATGTTTTAGTTAAACAGCTGCTTTAATTAATATAGCTAAAACTGGAAAAGTCTTGAAAACTTAAGTAACATATAAGTAAATGTAACACAGTACAAGGAATTTCAAATCCATCTTAACCTTTTTAAAGCTTCTTTAAAGCTCACCAACATGCTACTTTTACAGGGAAGGTGTTAAATAAACTCACTGGCAATGATGCCTCAGGTTTTAGCTTTTATATTTCTCAGATTCTGTATTGTTTTAGTGTGTAGTTCTGATCTTCATATTAGGGGATAGTAAACTCTCTTCACAGAGTAAGTAGACAAAACAATTCCTTCTCTTGCTGGGGACTAAGGACAAATGACCTAAGTTTCAGGCCCAAAAGAATAAACAACAGTGGAAGGAAGAGAGAAAAACAAGAAGGACGGGACTTCATAAGCTAAAGGTACAATTGGACAATTAACTCCAATATGCAAATGGACCAGAACTTATAAAACTGTGAGACCCCGGTCGTCTATTTTGTGACCATTTTGGATTCATCTTGGGTGTAGCCCTGGCTGGGTGCTTGTGCTGCCCAAGGTGGATCCACTGAGGCCCTTTAATAAATACCTACTTTATTCTTTAACTCCATCTAGCCTCTATTCTAGGTCAGCCTTCACAAGGCATCAGAAATGAATCAGAAACACAGGGTGGGAAGAAGCAGCAGCTGACATATCCTTATTGGATACAAGTAGAAAAACTCCTGTTCAGCAAGGAGCAGTTTAACATATTTGCTTTACTGGAACAAGAGGGGTAGCAGATGCTTCAGAAAGCTTTTACTGTTTATTATCTAATACTTACCAACTGTACCCAACTGGAAAATTCATTTACTATAGAATTCAAGGAAGTGGCTTCAGGGATAAATTTTTGTAGTGAGAGCAGTGATCTTAAATAGGCTTCTCTTCCACAATATCATCACAAAACCACCAGACCAACCCAAACCTAAATCAAGGGCACAGAAACTCACCCTGCATGTAACTGACAGTTCATAACTACTGGTGTTATCCTCATCAGAACATGACAAAGCTAATAGTAGAAGCTCATTGTTTCCATTTTAGCAATCAACAGGAGAGTGCATTCCTTAGCTCTGAGTATAAGAATTCACTACTCTTTATTTTTCTTCTTATAGAATTATCTTATATCTATTCCAGATGACATTTTCTTATGGATTTTTACCTCTCAGTGCCTATTATTTTTTGTAGCTTTTCCATCCCCACAAGAAATTTAATCCAAAACTAAAAAGTTATTGTATAACCTGCAGGTTACTCTACAACTCATTCTTGACATTCTTCCAACTCTCCACTCCTCCCTCTTCCACCTTTTCTTTGGCATAGAGAGAGCAGTTAAAAGAAGAGTGTTTAAGAGTGGAATCTACCCGCAAAGCAAAGAAAAAGAGCCACAAGTAGAAGAGAAAGAATACCAAAAGCTGAAGAACGGACTATGGGTGAAAAGTAAGTTAGACTAAGCCCTACTTCAGTCACTCTTCTTGTTTCACACAATATGCATTCAAGAACTTAGTGTAAGTGAAGATATTACAAAAATATTAGATATGGTTTCCAAAAGAATTCTGACACTGACAGAAAATGTAATTATGTACTTAAGAACATATATGGTGTGCTCTGAAAATACCAAGGAGATCACTAGTTGACTAGTATTTTAGAACTCAGTAAAATAAACTTTCCCCTGCAGTCACAGAACTTTCAATGGTTTTGGACAGATATCACAACCATATTCAATATGCTCTGTCTTCAATACAGCTCATTTCATCAAAATGCTACATGGATGTATTTTGTAATTTAATTCTTTAGCATAACAAGTTACTGGAAACATTGGTGCTTCTGTCAAAAAACCCCACCAACCAACAAAAAAAAAAAAACCACCCAAAAAACCAAGGACTAAACATACTGCACTGCCCGTGCCCTCCATTATTTCTCTAAGAAATCTTCACAGCACACATACAAAATCCCACACAATCCAAACAACTATTTATATCTGTTGTTGATGCCATCATACAGAAGACATATTCTCTATATTTCCATCAGTAAAAGACACTGAATAGTTAACCCCTATAAATCGTCAATAGAAATCACATGCTAAATTGTGTCAGAAATTTTGTATTTCTGACACAAATACACACATCCTCAGCTCCTGCTTCAGACCCTCTGTTGTCTTTTTTTGTGGCACTGCAACTAGGACAAGCAGTATAGCCCAGCACAGGCAGAACTGTTGGTGGGTGCTGAGGACTCAACATTCCCCACTATCTGCAGCTAAAGGTGCTTCGCTTAGGCTAAATCTAATCTGATGCTGTGGATCTGAGGCATACTAGCGACTGTCATGTTCCTGAAACCATGCCAGCTCAGCCAGAAGGAATCCTGTGCAGTCTAACAAAGCTTAGCCAGTAAGAGAAGTACAGGAAATTCACTTCACAAGCACAACTCCCAAGTAAAGCTAAAGCAGACATACCTAGAGTTGAGAGATGAAGACCAGAGATAAGTAACAAGCATTTGCAGAAGTGCTCCTCAGCACAGCTGCTTCTCCAGAGCTGCTCTGTTGTGTCACACTACTCACTAAGCACACGAAGGTCTCTTGTACTGGAGAAACACATCCCCAGTCCCATCCCACACTGCTCTGCACTGGCACGTGTCACCACAGCACTCAAGCACTGTTGGAACCACACAGAACAACCGTGGGTCCCCATGTGTCCCCTGCGGGACTACTGCTCGTCTGTGTCCTCCAGCCCTGCAGCAGGAGCAGAGCAGGGCCCCTGGAGGAGACATCCACAGTTCCTTGATGTTTGAAGCAGGCATACATTTTAAACTGCTTTAGAAACAACAGACATCTAAAGAACTTTGTTCCAGTTGTGTCTCAAATTCACCCCTAACTTGCTCCTAAATTGTAGTAAGTTTTCAAAACTATTAATTCATCAAAAAGTGAGGCAGGCAAATGACAGTACTTCAAACACATACATTAACTATTCATACAGCATAATAATTTAAAAAATAAAAAACCAAAAGTTATGTAGTCAGGTACTGCAGTCAGTACTTTAATTTTCAAATGACATAATTGACATTAAGCAATATTTACCTGCTTCTTCTTTAATAAATGACAAATCTTCTTCTGGATATGGGACTGACGGTTGCAACACTGAGCAATCTTCAGAATTCTCTTCAGTATTAGGTGGTATATTATAAATAAATCTCTTTGCAGTTTGGTTTTTCCTTCTTGCTTTTCCAGGTTCTGGAACTGATTGTCCCTGTGTACCCATGTCATTCCACACGAAAACTTTTCCCTCACCTTGAGATTCATTTTCAGCCATTTCAGGTGAGCTGTCCTGGACCCAACTGCAGTCATTCATTTGGTAGCTTTCCATTTGGCCCTCATCAATAGGGTAGGGATCATTCTCAGTTTTTATGCTACTTGCCAAGTTGGTAAGGTTTCGTGTTGCCCAGAAACTGGCAACTTTTTGATCCCTTGGAGATAAACCATCCCTACTAACAGATCTTCTGTTGTAATCCACTACAACAGTCTCTGGAGCTTCTGATTTTATACTTATGTTTAAGGCATCTTTAATGAAGTTGCGGCAGGACTGGACAACCTCCGTCATCTGAAGGTAGCTGGCCACTGACATCACTTCAATGGCGTTTTGGCTCGTGAGCACGAGGTTACCAGAATACAAGAAGTCCAAGATGACAGAAAAACCTTGAACAGCAACAACGTCTAAATAGGTAACAGTGGTTTGGTTACGGCTTTCTTTGTTTGTAAAGCAATACAGAGTCTTAAAGAATCGGCTGCCTGCAACCAGGATGTTCTTGTGAGCTCTGAAGACCCTCCCACTCACCACAATATTAACATCACAAAGAATGCCTTTCTTCCTCTGCTCGTTGAGCTCTTGCAGGAGCTGATAGCAGTAAGAGTTCTCATTTGGCCGGCTGTTAAAATCACAGTATCCTTCATTATTCAGTTCTGATGGTAACTCTGCCTCCTGCAATTAAAAAACCACACAAACATAATTAGCTCTTAATAAATGCCCTCCTTAGTTCTTCAACACAATCATAAGGATATTAAAATAAACTAAAGAAGATTATTTTAATCAAACTTTTTTTTGTTATTTATGTTCTTTGTCACAAAGGCAGACAGGAATATAAAAATAACAAGACATTTCTGAAAACTAAAAATCATGCTCTCATTCTGCAACTTCCACCCCCAAGTTTAAAACAAACAGAACTAGATTCACCTCGAGGGCAAAGGAAGGGAAATTTCAGCCAAAAGTAAGGAAATATATAGTTGAGTGTGAAGTACTTGTTATTCCTAACCCACATATATTAAAGATTCAGGAGCCTCTCTTTCCAAAGATTTAACTAGATGATTCTTACATATCCAATCCCTTGTACTTCCCCAGAAATCTCCACTTAAACAATTAAGCAGAATCCGGCTAAGTGATTCAACATTTTCTTCATGCTGAGATACTAACAGACACAAATTAGGTCTGTATGTCCCAATCTGTCTTGAATGTTTTAAAGAAAGCATATTGCTAAAGTAGATATAACAGCAAAAGTATATCTTACACAGTTTTACAAATTAAGTATTTATCCTTTGCTTTTTAACTGCAGCAGTTTTAGGATTAAACAGTGTATCACATGACAAGCAGACAAAATACTGCAGATGACAAAAAATCTCCTGACTTAAGCTTCCACTACAATACTTGCCTCAGACTTTCTTCAAATAAGCCTCCCAAACTTTCTAGTGGCAACACTGGCACAACACTTATTACACACACACACAACCTTTTTAAGATGTGATCTCAAACACAGCTCCAAAATTTTGCTAAAACCTGATATTTTCAGAAAATCCAACACCAAGGCATAATTCATTATTAAAGATTAGTTCAGACAGGGAGAGATCAAGAGATCTGAACTGGATTTTTGAGCACATAGAAGACTTTTAACTCATGTTTAGATAAAGATGATTCAGAGATGCTACAAAGCAACAGCTAGGAGAAAGCAGAAAACACAGACTGGCATATTTGAGACCATACTTATATGGGTTGACATATGCTGCCATCAAGAGCAGCAACAATGACAGTCTGTTTCATACTAGATCTCCAAGATTCTCTCTTCTTTCCTAGCAAAGGAGGAAAGACCAAAACTGGACAGCTCCAAGCCAAAGCATTATTTTCCTCTCTCATCTCCTAAAACACCTCACTGATTAGGGAACTAGAAGTGGTGTTAAAGCTCACCTGCCTCAACATTACAGGTCAAAATCAGTATTAAGAAGGTAATGTTAGCACTGTCATGAGCCCATAAGCAATGCTGCAGGTAAAATACACGTTGCAGGAAAGTACTACTCTTATTTTGGGACTACTGCAGAAACCAGCTACATATATTTTAGAAGTCACTTTCCACCCCACAGACCTTAGTGGTTTAAATCAGTACTCATCAGTGTGGACCACTGGAAGGACAACTGAGGCTGTAACTACATCTAAACCAGTGTTTACATATATAAGCAGCAAATAAGACCTGGTATAACCAAAACAAACTGCGCCATTTCAGCATCTCCTGCAGAGAAATTTCAGTTTGCTGACATATTCAAGTTGCTTCTGAATCTCTACTCTTCTCAGAAAAACACTTCATTGAAGAGGAAGGAATAAAAGCAATTAGCCTTTTATGCGAAAACAAGCAGTAGATCTTTGCTCACCTCAAATTTTTTGTGTACTTTATGACACACCCCAAGTACTACCTCGGATCAAGACTGTGAAACAGTTTGTTCCAGATGTGGGACAGCTAAGGCTGTCACGCTAAGCTCTCAGCAGATTTTGGTTCTGGACTAGCTTCCTGTCACTTTAGCAATGGAGCACTGCACAGTTTCGAAACACCAATTACACTGACACTGGATCAGATTAATATGAAAATGACAGTACCCTAAAGTGTTGTCACGCTCGTCAATCACCAGTGACTTGCACCTCACACAGTAAACGTTAGGTAGATGCTGTGATAGCTGCCAATTTCGTTCTCTGAGAACACATTAAACACCGCATAAAATTTAAAAAACGACCTGCAGCAGTTCTTTTCTTCTGACAAATGTCTGATTAAATAATAGAGAGAGAGTACATTTTAACTAAGCAAGTATATGTACCCAATCAAGCTGGGACAAAAAAATAAATTTCTATTTACAATATGCGGTTTTTGTTTCCTGAGAACAGGACAAGCCAGCATGGTGAAGAGGAGCTGCAGATCACAAATGTGCTACAGAAAAACAAGACTGAAATCTTCATCATGACAAGACTAGAAGGTTGAGTGGAAAAATGAGATATTATGCAACCTGTGTCCAAGCTATTAGGGGTGTGTGATGGAGAAAGAGATCAATCAGTATTACAGCTTTAATTAGTATTATAGCTTTACAGAAGTGGGTGCATAAACATTTCTAAACCTAACTGCAGTACTAAAACCGTTTTACTGCTGGTATGGTACAACAGTTAACCCTAGTGCCACAACTCAGATGAAGTCCTGACATCTGAGCAGTTACCAAGTCTATGTACATCAAGTATGACAAGTAGAACTGATATTTATTATGAGAAAAATGAACAAAATAATACTACTTCGAGAGATTTAGACATTGATACAGAAAAAATACAATACAGTTCAACAGGAGGCAAGATGCAGAAAATAATTACAGGAAAAGATGTATTTGCAAACTTCTGTAACTTACATGACATATCATCGTAAGGGTTGTTTTTCTCATAAGAACAACAACCTAATGATATTTGCTTAGATGTCAACTATATTTTCAGAATACAGACCCCATATTCTCATCAACTAAGTTACCCCAACACCAAACCACCTCATCCTTTATTAAACACTAGTAAGGAATAAAAGATAAAAATCAGCACAATTTCATTTCAATTTATGGAACCTTCAGTGCTTCAGAAGTCAAAGACTTCTCTCTGTGGGTGAGATTAAGAAGAGCTGTAACAGAACAGAGACTGCTTAAGGAAACTAATATTGTGCTCAGTTTCAATAGAATACACACAAAGACAAATTACTATTTTATATGTATAATTCATTAATTAAACTTGCCCAAAAGCTAACAGGAGCAGAAACAGATGATGAAAAATTGCTACTAGGAGTTTAGTTTTCTTTCTCCTACTGTTCCATCAGCATACTCTGTCCCTGGAAGGAAGAACAGTGAGAGCAGGAAGAATTAAGAAAAACCCAAACCAACCTAACCACAGATTCCATCTCAGCTGCATGTATACGAGAAGTAATTATTCCACATTTTTTACTCCTTTCCCCACTACCATATCTTGCTCTACCGCAGTTCCCTGTGCCCCCAAACTAATCCTTATTCTCATAAATGTATCTTCTAAAAAAGTAAGCTATCAGTAGCTTCTTAACCACGTGCAGAGGAAAATTATCTCAAAATATGGTCCCATCAGCTGCACACGATGCTCCACTGTGTGCTGTACACAAAACTCAGCAACTTCAAATTATTTCAATAATTGCTTAGTATCAAATTGAGTAGTTTGATGTTTGATAAAAACACTACATGAAAATACACTAAGTGATAGTGTTTACTCTAAGGCCTGACTTCCTCCTCAACTTCTTCGCTCTGCTAAGAGTAAGTCAAGAAGTTAACTTTGAACACTGTAATGTAACTCTAACATCTGAAGCATGACTTCCATTCATCACTGCTCACATAATGCAAACAATTCCAGTTCACATGGAAAAAATAACACATCAAAGGCCTTCCTCCTTTTGGAGAGCTTCTGCTTTAAACCAACATGCCTGTTAGACTGGAGAAAGCTTTTCTGGCAGTATTTCCAAAGCTTAGCTTTAAATTATGTCCAGGAAGAAAATGTTTTAAGAAGATGGTTTGAGGAGAGGAATCCCCAGCAGCCAATAAATCTGCATCTTATTCATTTCAAAGAATGAAAATATTTTGCCATGATTTCTCACTAAGCATCCATTTCTTGAGATTCTTGCAACACAATAGTCTGTTCACTACAAAAACACAGGTAGTTTCAAGATGATGATAGATTTCCTTACGCTTTAATGTGGAGAAAAAAATATTTTAAAAACTAGAATAGAAAAAGACTCAAGAATTTGGTCTTAGAAAGAAGCATCGGTTGACAGCTCAATACCCTTGAATTACAGCAGCTGCAACCACTTGTGATGTATTTTGGCATTCCAAATTAAATGTATCCCAAAAATAAACTGAAATCATCACTCATTTCTTCATGAGTGTAATATCCAACAGACCTATAGAAATTTCTACTGCTTTACTGTCTTAACACCTACAATTTCCTTTCTGCGCTTGAGTGGTGGCACTATGCCATATGTTTATTAGCAGCTGCTAAACATGCCCTGCAGTGGAGGCTTGTCAAGTCCATAATACATGTGTGCTGTCTCTAACACAAAGGCTGAAAGATCTCTCCCAAGTTTCATTAAATCTAAACGGCTTTGCTGCCTCATTATGTATGTTGGAAATACGATCAGGGTACAAATTACCTACTTTTGTTCCAAGTATCTGGTATCATGGCATTTAGAAAAAAAATAGGGCTATTGTTTTGCTATTAATTTAAACATATGTATCAAAAGAAATTCAAGTGCCATTAAGAGTATGAAAGGATACGGAAATTAAACATAGAAGGGAAAGAAAACAGAGATTCTTAATCAGGTTTTTGATAAAGCAACTGTAACGTGAAAGCCACAAAGAAAACTACACTGACTCCTGAAAATCTGCAATTCCTTCCCTCGTGAGAAGTTCTTAACTGAAATGTAACTGCAGAAGGATGCACAAAGCACTGTTTCCCACTCAAAAAAAAAATCTCTTTACAGCTACCTTTGTCCCAACCTTATCTTTTGTACAGTGCAGAGAACCACTGACTCATCTATCCTACTGTTTCATTTATTATCACAGTTAGTACAAATATTTTTTCTTAAACTATCAGTGGTATAAAAGCAGAGATTCATTTTTACAAATATTCCCATGGCAATGAAAAGTCTTCAAATAAACACTTACAATCTTGAAATACATACTTACATTAACTTGTAGGCTACTGTGATAACAAGCCAATATTCTGTCCTCCCTTCCACTCTCCCAATATTTAACAGTTTGACAACAGACTCAGGGTAAGAGGACAGAAAGAAAAAGAACAGTTATCTGAGTAGAGAAAAAATGCTTGGAATAACTTTTATTTAAATACAGTTAAAACAGAGTGAGAGAAGTTTCCAAGTGTGGCATGGATTAGCAGCATCCACTAACACAGGAGGCTACAAAGCGACAGAACATACTTCTACAGAGTAATTATTCACACCTCAAAGTTAGAAACTAGGCAACAAGACTGTAAGGAACACGCTGCAACAGCATTATGCAAAATGGAACATTTTCAAAGATATGAAGAAGTAAAAGAAACTAAGAAGATAAGTCTCTTAATTAGAAACAACTAATTGAAAGTAAGTTTGGCTAAAACACTGCAGAGTGAACAGCAAACCCCAGAAGACTAACGAAAACTGATAAGATGACCTACTACCAAATAATATCTGTAACAGCAGCTGCTATAAAACTACACTCACTGAAAAGGCAGTATTAATCATCTTGAAGGTGAATGTTGCATTTGTAAATCCAAAAATAATATTCTGGATAACTGGTATTTGTACACCATGAGGTTTCCCTTGCAGTCCTGCAATAGCTTCACAAAAAATTTGCATACACTTTCCAAGTAGTTCTAAGAAAACTATCATTCACCTAATGTTTTATAAGTCATCCTGTAATCCTGATATCCTGCCCTAACACTTGACTAGCAGCTCTTGTCCAAGGTACCCTGAGCTCCTTAAGAGTGCTCAAGCAATAACCTCAACTTAAGAACCGCATTACCTTTCAGACTCCAAATAAAGCTACCCAGCCAAGGTGGGTGTTTTAATTAAAACTGAATTACAAATGCAGAAAAACTGAGTGACTAATCAATTAATTCTGGCTAACAGCCTAACAGTTCAAGGACTAGCCTAACCTGAAGCAACACTTAGCTAACGCCCGCAGGCAAGTTTAACGCCAGTGAAGCGATCGAGCGACCTTCAGCAGCGGAGGCATCCCTAGGAGAAAAGGCTGCAAAAGGCTGAGGATTCAACACAAGTATTCTTTAGGGGCTTTTCATCCACATATATTCTAGGGCAAGCCCTGCCTCATCATTCGTGAAAGCAGCCAAGAAACACAGTGATTTCAAGTTCAGCGGGGAACGTGAAGAGTTTCACTACTCCTACAGCGTTAGAGGAGCGCTGGCATAGTAACACGGCTTTCAGGAAACCGCATGTTTATCTCAAACACACACCAAGCGATTGCAGACTTCTTGCTCAGCAACTCAATCTAAGGCAACGCAGGGAAAGAAAAGATTTCAGCGCGAAGAACTTAAATACACGGAGTTATCCGATTAGTGCACCGGGGCCACACCGCTAAGCGCGGCAGAGCGATTCCAATTTCACGCCGCCGAGTCCCCATTTCACAAGCGGTCGCCGGCCGGACACTGCCCTCCCTCCGCCTGCACCGCAGGAGGAAGTTGTAACGAGCGTATTTAAATCAGTGCTGTGACACTGGGATTCGTACGCAACTTTTTTCCCACATCGCCGGTTTATCTCCACGAGATAAACAGATGAACTAATGAAAGCAGCACCAGCCAGGGCCGGACGGATAACGGGAACAGAATACAGCCACAAACAACAGCTCGTGCTGTGTTTGCGTGCCTGCCCACACCCAGCGGGAGAGTAACCCCAAATCCCAGAGGGGGCTCGTCTCCCGCTCCGGACGCGGCGAGCGAGAGCAGCGCGGCGCGGCCAGCCCGTCGGGCAGCAACAACCACGAGCAGCCATTTAAAGAAGTTCACACACGTGAGCACAGGAAAACCTCACCTATGCAAAGGGGAGGTCGGGATTGCCCCTCCCTCCCTCCCCGCCGCCCCCTCCCCGTCCCGTGCCGTACCTGCTCGGCGCTGCCGGGCTCGTTGAGGCGATGCTCGGCGGAGAGGTGGTGCCGCAGGAGCAGGGTGCGCTTGTAGTTGCGGGTGCCCTTGCAGAGCTCGTCGTGCCCCCCGGGCAGGGGCGCGCCGGACATGATCACCTCGGGGGGCGCAGCAGCGGCGACGGCCGCGGTGCACCAGGCGCACGACATGAGGCCGGTCTCCTGGCAGTAGTAGAGCCACGGGAACTCCTTGAGCCAGGAGCCCTGGAAGGAGATGTGCAGCTTCTGCAGCAGGGACTTGGGCCTGGCCAGCGGGAAGTGCCGGATGCTCTCCCCCTCGCCACTGCCCTCCGCCTCGTCCCCGCCGTCGCCCCCCGACCGCCGGCTGCTGCTGCAGCTGCCGCCCTCGGCGCCGCTGCCGTCGCCCAGGCTGCCCCCTTCGCCGTCCTCCTCGTCGTCGCTGCTGTCACTCAGCGAACCCCCGTCCTGGACCAGCTCCTTGCCCTCCAGCAGCCCCTCCGTCTCCAGTCCCTCCGCTCCCTCCAGCTCCATCTCCTCGTCCGCCCCCCGCCCATTGAAGTGCTTCCGCGGCCAGGCCGCGGCCTCGCAGCCATTGTTGGCGGCGGGGTGGGCGGCCAGAAGCCCCCCGCCGCCGCGGAAGGCCAGAGTCCGGCGGTTCCTCTCGGCGAACATGGGGCCGGCGGCGGCGGGGGGCGACGCCGCGTCCTGGGGCAGCAGCAGCTCCTTCTCCTCGGCGGCGGTGGCCTCCAGCTCCTCGGCCTCCAGCCCCTCCAGCTCCGCCTCCTCGTCCGCCCCGCGCCCGTTCAGCGCCTCGGGGTCCTGCCGCTCCCAGGCCTCGGCCCCCGCCGCTGAGGCGGCCGCCGTGGAGGTGACGAGGCCGCCGCCGCGGAACGCAAGCGTCCGCCGGTTTATCTCCGCGAACATGGCGGGCGCGCCCCGCGCCCCCCGCCCGGCCGAGCGCTCCGTCCGCCGCGGGAACGGGGCGGGGGAAGGAGGCGCCCGGCTGCCGTGCGGGGGCGGCGGCCGAGAGAAGCGAAGTCCGGCCGCTCGCTCCCCGCTCCCCCGGGTCCGGCCTGGATCGCGGCGGGCGCGGGGCTGCCCACAATGGATCCCGCTCGATCGCTCGGCGGCGGCGGCGCTTCCGTCCCGACAGGCCCCGGATCGGGTCGGGTGGCAAATGAACAACGGGCTGCCCACAATGCACC